ATAATAATAATAATAATAATAATAACAATAATTAGCATCGGCAGATTAGGACCAATAAACTTCACATAACCAATTTTTATATACTTATTCTTAAATTTTCTAACAACTTTTTTTAACTTGTTGCTACAGTTTCGTGTGCACTCGTTAAATGTGAATGAGTTGCGTGTGCGTGTGTGTGTGTGTGTGTGTGTGTGTGTGCTTATTTACGTGTTGCTGACTTGTATGATCTTGAAAATGTCACCCATAACTGCAGATTAATAATAATACATACAAATCAGAGCATTGTACATATGTATACCTATATTGGTGTTATACATATGTATATACAATAAATACAGAGCATACAATACATACAATCCAGAGCATTATATGTATATTATAATAATAATCCCAAAAATTAAACTAAGAAAATAATAACAACAAAAATAAAATAATAATATTAATAATAATGAAATGAGGTGTAACTGCATGCATACCGTCAAGCAAGCAAGCTTCCAACTGAGCTCACGTTTCGACCTCTCAACTACTGAATGCTTCAAAAGAAAAATAACCTTCAAACGTGAACTGCACACATTCATACACACGTACACGAACATACACATGCACACGTACGCAAGCACACATACAAACACAAATCACATACAGGCATGAAACATACATATCTAAGAAAAAATATACACGCATATTAATTGTATGTGATGTGCATGAACGTGCGTGTGATAGTTTATAAAAGCTGTCTACACGTTGAAACATTTCTTTGTGAAAACGAATTTAAAATAGAATGCGATAGTGGCTGAATTCAGGTGCTGATGGTGAGAACGCTACTACAGGCGCTGCCATCACCAGCGTTACTCTCACTCCCACCTCCTTCGTCATTTACCAGATGGCTATCGTCACCATCATCTGAACTCTTCTCTGCGGCCGAGGTGATCTCGTTGTACTTGACGACCTCGACGACGGGCTCTGTTTTGAATCTGACCTTCTTGTTGCTGTTGCTGTCTTCATTGTTGCTGCTGCTGCTGTTGCCACTGAATTTTGAGTTGGAGTTGAGTTCCCTGTGTGAGGAGTGGTTGGCGAGGAAGTCGTGTTGAGGTTTGTTGTCGCTGTTGTTTATGTCCAGGTAGTGCTGTCGTATTTGGTGCGATTTCAAGGTGCTGTGCTCCTCCAGGGTCGGCAGTGTGGTCGGTGTGGTTGTTGGTGTAGCAGATGGGGATGAAGACGTGGAGAGTGCACTGTAGTCTTGTTCCGATGCGTTGTAGCTGTGCACCAGTAGTGCTTCTGATGAATGCTGCTGCAGTAACAACTTCTGCTTCTCTGCCAGCTGGTCTCTGTATTTATCTGCAGGTTGTGCAGTCATTCATTACATTAACTTCTATCGGGTTGTTAGACCGAACATAAGATATAACAAACAATTCCCTTTTACGTAAAGAATAGGAAAACGTTTGCATTAACTTGAACATCCAACCCAATCAAATTAACATGCACGTAGAAAAGTTGCGTCAGACTCTTAAGCACGTTGCAGTCAGATTTGACAGAAGTAAGAAGCAGTCAAATTAGACAGAGGTAAGTAGCAGTTAGATTTAGCTGAGCGTTAGAGCAAGGCAACTGCATATTTAACTTTCGAAACAAAGCAACACTAGCTCAACTCGACTACTTCTTATTGTTATCATCTACAATTGTTTTATTGACATCGCCATTATTTATTAATGCTATTCACGATAATTTATTCATTTCACTCAAATTAATTAATTAATTCACGCTAATGAATAAAACATCAGAGATGTTACGTTTTTAACAGCAGCAGCGGCAACAACTACCACTATACCTACACCTACTACTACTACTACTACTACTACTACTACTACTACTACTACTACTACTACTACTACCACCACTATACTACCACAACTACTACCACAACAGCAGAATTGTTTAAAGAAGTGATTTGAGCAAGTAGCGCATTGTTTGCTGTTAAAAAATACGAACAAGAATCACTTTGGAATAAACGCTCAGAGTGAATCACTAGAAAAAACACCAAGCTCTCAAGACGATAGCAAATGTAATAATAATAACAATAATAAAAACAATTAATAATAATAATAAAAATAACACCAACGTACAGAAAGGTCTGAGAATGAGGAAATCGATGACGTCAGTGATTGAAATGACACCTTTCAACTCCTTCCTGTCTGACACGACGACCATGCAGTGCGTCTGGAATTATTTTATCTACATCATCATCATCATCATCATTATTATCATTATTATTATTACTATTATCATTATTATTATCTCTTGTAAATTTTATTTGGACTGAACAATTATGTTACGATTTAACTAATTCAGTAATATCATCATCATACGCCATCTATTGCGACAGACATTCAAATGTATAATAACTATATTAAGACTGATTACATTTCTCGTTGTACGCATTTTATATCTATAATGGCGAGCATCGTAGACTACTTTCTCATTTTAATTCATTTTATTTTATTTTATTTCATTGAATATTTATTTCGCCCCTTTTTTGGAAAAAATAAAATGAGTTCCCATTTATTATTGTTATTATTGTTATTATTATTATTAATATTATTATTATTATTATAATTATTATTATGTATCTCGAATTATTAATATTAACTCGAATGTATCATAACTTCTTTTAGACTGATCTTTTACTTTTATAAAAATAAGAGAGTTTCCATTATTATTATAATTATATGACTATATAGTTATTGAATTGTACGAGTCCAACCAAAAACAATTCCGGATGAATAAATATGAAAAAATACAAAAAAAAAACAACAAAATATAGAAGGGAGAATATGTGTGAAACACGTTATAGGAAGGAGTATCTGCAAAAAAATAACAATAATAACGACAACAATGAGAACTCTTAAATTTCTACAATTAAATATAAAAATGATCAAATATTATAATAGTTAAAAGATTGAAATAATGGATAATTTAACAATAATAATAATGGGAACATCCTTTTATTTTCTAACTCAAATACCAAATATTAATAATGAAATAATTATAAAATCCTATTTAATAAAATCTAAATCCTATTAATAAATTTAATAAATCCTATAAAATCCTAATAATAATAATAATAATAATAATAATAATTAGAACTCTTTGATTTTGATTGAAAAATTCGAAAAAATCAAAATACTTCAAGATAATGAAATATATAAATAAAAGAGTGAAATAATAATAATAAATGATTATTATTCGAAAAAATCAAAATACTTTGAGATAATGAAATATATAAATAAAAGAGTGAAATAATGATTAATAAATGATAATAATAATAAGAAGAATAAGAAGAAGAATAAATGAAACCCACCCCAGTGTCGACCATCCTGGCGACCACATCACACAACCTTTCACTGGAAGAACAAGTCTGAAGGTACTGCCCTTCCTAATTTTCAGTGATTGGTTGGTCGGTTGGTTGGTTGGTCAGTGGATTGATTGGTTAGTTGATTGATTGGTTGGTTGGTTGATTGATGTTTTTTGTTGGTTGGTCGATTGATTGGTTCGTTGATTGAGTGGTTGATATTGGTTGGTTGATTGAATGGTCAAATGATTGAACGAATGATTGAATAAATACGTAATTAATTGAATGATCATGATTTATTAAATGAATAAATGAGTAACCGACTGAATACACACGCACACATGCGCAGACACACACAAACACATTTTGGTGAAGTATTTGTTTGTTTATTCCACAAAATATGATAGAATCTATTTGGAGAAAAATTTATCTCAAACTAATTCATGAATATATAGATGGATGGCTAGGCATTTTGCCATGAGATGAACTTTTCAAGAAGAGCAAATTAAAATGATGCCTTTACTTTAAAAATTTTAAGACCAAGCCAGAAAACAATTAGAGATGTGATAAAAATGTATGTCTAGAAAAACTAACATTAAAAACAGCAAAACAGAATGAAAGGAAACGTGATACGAACTTCTTTCCTGTGCTCGATGACTTTCTTGACGGTGACATTAAGATCTGTGTACATCTGGTCATCTGCAATGGACTGCATGGACGTCATTAACAATTATTATTCAGCAAAACATTAACACGACAATAAAATTATGAATATAATTTAAAAAATATATATAAATATATAATATGAAAGTAAGATCGATAAATTTATAACTGGGACGAGTCTACAAACATTTAGAATTTAAAAAAAAAATGTAGTTGATGTCAGTCAATTACATTTATAACCGAAAATACTAAAATAACACTGAAACTCCCTACGCTCATCTCTCTTACTCTTTCACTCTCTCTCTCTCTCTCTCTCTCTCTCTCACACACACACACACACACACACACACACACACACACACACACACACACACACACACACACACAATCTCTTTCTCTCTTTCTCTCATCTTTCCAATTCAGCTATCAGCCTATCCATAAAGCCGCCAACTATCTCTTAAACCAATCCTATCACACCTTTATAACTCTATTTATCTCATAATCAACTCAGGATCTCTAAACACCTCAAATAGTAGCAGCCAGCCAGCAGCACATTGTACAAGAAAACGACGACGAACTAACAAAGACATCTGATTTGTTGTAGATATCAATGACTTGGTTCTTCTCGTTGACGATTGGAAGTGCCGACACGTTGTTACCCATGAACAACTCAACTACTTCTACCAGCGTCATCTCAAAGGTAACCTGAAGATCAAGTCATTACCATCGCGTTAATGATTCGGTGTAATGGAATGTATAAAATGAGAATATAAAAGACGAGTTATATTGATGGTGACGATGGTAAACAAACTAAACAAGGATGAACAGATTACAAATAAACTAATGTAGCAAAAACAATAAATGAAATTAAAAAATAATAGAAACAACGATGACGGTGAAAATAATGATGAATTCAACACGGTACAGAATGGAGTGTAACTAAACAAAATGCAAGTTCAGATCTCCAACTGAGCTAATGCAAATATAAACCTCTGCTCATGAGCAAACATATTTGCACTGTTCATACACAAGCACTGCACAGGTGCACACACACACACACACACTCAAATGCACATAAACAGAAACACACATATACACTCACAAGTACACACACATACACACGAACAAATAGAACAAGACGATGATATTATTTTTCAAGCCTACCTTTATTTAAATAAGAGCAATTGTAAACAAATGGCATATAAAAAAAATGACTAATCAGCAAATGATCGTAAAATTAATTAATAACTCACATGGCTAAACACGAAATCATATATAAGCAGATATATTAACCAAAAAATAAACACATACAAACACACACGTATAGCACATACAAATAGAATACTGACATGGGGAACATTTTCATAGGTGCCGACTTGGCATTGTTCAATGGTTTGTTGAAGAAACTGGTTGCCTATCACATCTTTCCCTGGCTCCTTCACCAAACTACGCATCTTTGCATTTAGAGTTATGAAGCATTTGTCACTTACTTATTGCATTGATGTTACATAAAATAAAATACAGATTATATCCTTAATATGTCGACACATTAATTTAAAAAATCATAAAATATAAATACAGCAGAAGATGATCAACATTAAATATAAAAAAATGTTAAACTAAAAAAGTGAACATTTAAACTAGCAAGCCAGTTGTATTAAAATCTCTTAATCAAACTTCAAACACTCCAGACTTATCTTAGTTTTTAATCAGAATTCCACACCTTACAATCCTTCAATCAATCTCACAATCCCGTCTCATCCATTCGGCAACTGCACGACCCTATGATATCGAACAAATCCCCTACATACCACAACTTCATATTACCACCATTCCATCTCTTAAAAAAACTTCACCACACTCCACCGCACTATTTCACAACCGCAAAAACTCCATACCCCCAATCAAGTGCCAGCCAAAAATCCTACTTGAAAACTCACATATGACGCAATGAACCTCAGTATCCTCTTACTGGTGAGGACGAAGAGAATGTTGCCCGTGATGGGATCAACGACAGGAAGGTGGTGGATGTGATGACGCGCCAGGATAGCAGCGGAAGCCAGCAAGGAGGTGTCGGGCTCCACTTGAATTGTCGGCTTGTCCGAGTCGCCCAGTATATCTAATAAAAAATGCGTGACTAATTATTTATTAATACCAATTTATGATGTTTATTTATTTAATGGATTCATTCATTGATCCGGTATCGAATGAAATTTAATATCAAAGATGTCGTCACGTCTTCCTAATGAGTGAGTGGTTACAATTTCGTAGTTAACTCCTCCATAAGTGAGAGTTAATGATAAATTGGTGATGCATGTGGGCCATAACAAACAACATGCTTGTGTTCATTGCATTGAAAAGTTGCATTGGATTCGATAACACATTGACAATAGAACGAAAGAGTTGAAAGAATTAATTTGAATGAATGGACGAACGAATGAATGAATGAATGAACGAACGAATGAATTAATGAAAGAAAAAAAAGAAAAAATGAAATGCAGTTGAAAGATTTAATTTGAATGAATGGACGAATGAATGAATGAATGAATGAATGAATGAATGAATGAATGAATGAATGAATGAATGAATGAACGAATGAATTAATGAAAAAAAAAGAAAAAATGGAATGCATGAATAAGCGTTGGAGAGCGCTATCACCGCCAGGCAAGCAAGATTCAGATTGCACATACTTGTGTGATTAATTGAGTGAGAAGTGAATTAATTAAATGAATAAACAGATGAATAAGCAGGACAATAAATAAATGACAAATTGAAATTCCAAAAACAAAAAAAAACAAAACGATGATTTAATACAAAGAACAAATGAACCAGTAAATAAATGAATTAAGAAGATAAACGAATGAATGAACACGCAAATAAAATAAAGTAATAAAAGTGAAAGGCCAAAAAAAGTTAAAAACCAACTTTTCCAGTTTGAGATTTTTTGATCCTCAATTTCTTTCAGATCCAACTGTGAATACAAAAAGTGAATCATCAGCATTACCATTCTTTTAATTACCATCATCTTCATCATTATTTTCACCATCATCTACTTCATCATCATCATCTTCATCATCATCTTCCTCATCCCCATCATATTGGCAGTTTTTTACTAATATAATCAACCTCGAATCAATGGTTAACAATTATCATTCAGCACAAGAGTGTCAGAATCTGTCGAAGTCGAAAATTTCTACTCAGAGTCTGAAATATTTCGATCAGACTCCGACACTCTGGTTAACGCAAGTTTCATGAATTAACAATTTTTGTTATTATTATTATTATTTATCAGCACACATCACCATCATGACTGACCTCGGGAGAATGGTAATACTTTTGAAGAACTCTCAAAAAATCAGTTACTGTAAGAAGACCTGGTTGGAAAATAATAAAATCAATAAATTAGTAATTAATTAATTAATTAATTTATTGCATATTCGTAACTGGATACACAAAATTGCACATAAAGAGACAATCGAACAGCAAAAGATAACAAATCAATCAACCAATCTATAAACTATTAACTAATGAATCAGCAAATCAACCAACCAATCAAACAACCAACCAGCAAAATCATGTTTATCTATTGACCACAGAGGCGCAGATCTTATACTATTCTGTACAAGTGCATAAAATGCCTTGCTAACCTGTTCGGAAGAAAAGTTTATAAAAATTAAACTGAAAAATCAATCAACCAATCAATCAATTAATAAATTAATCAATTATTGAACAGACCAATTAATTATTCAATCAGTCAATCAAACAATCAATCAACCAACTAACATCAATTAATCAATCAGATGACTGCTTTTTCAAGAAGTAATTCGAATTAAGTTAGAAATAACCAGAGATCAACCACTTAAATTTGTAGCTACCTGATCAAGCAACATTAAAATGTGCTTGAAGGATTTTCCCAAAACTCATAACTCAAATGTAATTGTTGATCAACTAATCATTCATCCTAGTTAATCACTAATCACATTCCAATGACAATAGCACAGCGTGACAGCAACAAATTACTCATATAAGATAGCGGTATGAATTAGCTATGCATATCTATGTATGTATACATGCCTAAATGAACTGTTATATTATATTACATCACACGCACACGCACACTAACATAAACACACCGACACACACACACACACGCACACCGACACACACACGCACACAATTTTCTCTTTTTATTTCTCAGATGTTTTAACAAGAAACGCAAATATGTGAATCCGTCTGCATTTGAAACTGCAACCCAGAACGTCCAGCCATTATACTATCCCAAAATGGTAAGAACTTAATCCACACAAACATCCTAAAGTATGATCGAAAATTGGATCATGCTGATAATGTATTATTATAAGTTTAAAGGTGAAATGACATTTCATCTTAACCTGCATACCCAAAGTATATCATGTACCAGCAAGTAAACGCACGCACACACACACACACACACTCACACACACACACGTAGTATGTATATTAATGAATGTGTGTGTGTGCTAGTAAGTACATTAATGCATTCCGTCCAGAGTGATATCCAATACAAAGGTCATCATGACTGACTAACATTCAAACAACAATTTACAACAACAACACATTAACAACAACACCATACAACTCAACGAAAACAACACCAAACAACAACACACAACAGCAGCAAACAGCTGATAAAAAATACTTTCCCTTCTACTATAAATAGATCAATGTTTTTGTTGTTGAAAAATTTGACATGGCAGTGATTTATAGGGTTATTCATTTATTTGCTTGGCTTAATATTTACTCATTTTTCAAATAAATCTTTGTCATATTTGCTCATGATTCAATTTCACTTCAATACAAATACGATGAATGCATTTCATTTAATTAGTATTTTGCCTTACAAGTCGTATGTTTTTAAGCTATTTTTTTGTAAACATATCTGCTAGGCAAACATTCTATTGCCAGCTCATCATTTCTTTACACACTCATTCACTCACTCACTTACGCACTCACTCATTTATTCATTCACTCACTTCTTATTCGACTTTAAACACTTACACAGTACAAAAATATGTATACATAAACATTGATTCAATCGCCTAGATATAACCCAGATGTTCATTCATTCCCTCATTCCAATCTATCCAGTCATTCATCCTTTACATACCTCCATCCATTCTATCATCAATATGTCAACCCATTAATCCATCCTTCTGACTATTCATCCATTTTTCCCATCCATCAATCAGGTCATCACTCAAACATGCATAATGTTTTCATCTGCACATACGTTCAAGTCATTTTGTTAATTTCCATATATCTATCCAAAAAAATATTATCTCATTCATACATATACTTATTTGTCTAACCATCAATCTATCCGCCTATATATTCCTCTTATCATTTTATATTCATTCATCTATTATTATAACTATTGAGCAATCCATTCAACTATCCTTCCATTCAACTATCCATCCATTCAACTATCCATCCATTCAACTATCCATCCATTCATCCATCCATCCATCCATCCATCCATCCGTTCATCCATCTATACATCCATCCATCCATCTATCAAGTAATTTATCCATCCATCTAATCATCAATACAATATATCAATTCATCCATCCATCCATCCATCCAACAATTCATATATTCGTTTATTTAAAAATCTATCCATCTATCTTACATTGAGATTGATGTCAAAAACAACCAGCTTGCAACTGGCAGGCATCAGATCATAGCATGGATGGGTGTTGGCGAATCGGGTCAGGGCAAGTTCCTCGCTGTCCACGGTTTCTAGGTCAATAGAGGTCAAGGTCGGGTTAGAGCAAGTAAGGTTAATTGAAGATTAATAGTGTTGATAAATTTGTGATGTCTTTATTTACAGCTATGTTTAACTATTTAGACTAAATATTGAATAAAAAAAATTGTCAATCATAAATCTATTCAATCAAATCAATCAATCAATCAATCAATCAATCAATCAATCAATCAATCAATCAATCAATCAATCAATCAATCAATCAACCAATCAATCAATCAATCAATCAATCAATCAATCAATCAATCAATCAATCAATCAATCAACAAACCAATCAGTCAATCAACAAATCAATCAGTCAACTAACCGCCATGAATCTCTTCGAAATCTAAACTATCTGTGTATCTTTTTGGTAGCTACAACATTGAAAAACATAATATTTATCCATTGATTTGTTTTTAATTTGCCAATTCATGGCAGTTCTCTCTTAAAAAATCTCCAGAGACGTCAACAACAGACATACAGTGCACGTTGTTAATACACGTGAAGCAACTCACCACGCACATTGCGCGTGACAGGCGGGAATCTCTTTGAAATCGAATCCAGCCAATGCAATAGCAGTGCCGGACACTTTAACGTTACACCATCGTCATATGGATTAATAATAATAACAATAAAAACAATAACATAACAAATAATAATACTAACAGTAATAATAGCAATAATTATAACTAAAACATAATTAGGCAGATAATAATATTTATTAACAGTTACAAATGATAATAATTGTGAGACAATGATGATAACAACACGCTGGCAGTATGTATACATTAGTTATAATTATAGAGATAATAAGAGGTTTGGTGAGTGGCAGTCAAGAGGACAAGATTAACAATAAAAATAATGAAAAATAATAATTGAGGGAGCAATAAAAATAATAATATTATCATTATTATTGATCTTTACAAATATATAAACATTATATATCTATAGAAGTTAGTCAGAAACATGTTAATAAATTCGGATACCATTGTAGAAAGCTTAGTAACCTAATGTCAGAAGAAGCAGCAGTAGTATAAGCAGTAGCAGAAGAAACAGAAGCAGTAGTAATAGTAGTAGTAGCAAACCTAATATCAGAAGAAGCAGCAGTAGTATAAGCAGTAGCAGAAGAAACAGAAGCAGTAGTAATAGCAGTAGTAGCAAACAGCTGGTAGTAGTAGTTGTTGTAGTAACAGCAGGTAGTAGTAGTAATAGAAGTAGTAGTAGTAGCAGCAGCAGCAACAGCAAGTAGCAGAAAACACATTAACAATGTCCAGCGTTAATATCGATAAAAGATTTTTTTTCATCTACGTGTGTGTGACCATCACATGCTTTGTTTGCGTACTACTCAACAGGCGTTCTCAAATTATGACAAGGTTGACTCCAAATAATAATAATAATAACAATAACAAGAATAATAATACGAATAATAATATTGGAAAAATAACTAACCAAATAATGTGAGAAAACTGCTACAAATAAAATATAATGATAAACAAAAGTTTTATAGGATTTTGTCAAATGAAAGAGGAGCCCAAAATTAGTCCTTATCATTATTAAAGATCCAGCTAAATTTCGACTTGGATATCACATAACAAGAAAACCATAGCAATCACCATAAAAAAATAGGGCATTATATTTGTAAATAGCGATCTTCTAATATTTTGGGAGCATCTTGCAAAGTTGATTTCTTTTACTATCTGCAATTAATTTGAAAAAATTTTGCTAAAAAACAATTCGAGTTTTGTGTTTTCTGTAGACCATCAAGCTTTGCTAACTGAGTATATCCACTCACGACATTTTTTAAAACCTAATTTTTCTTGAAAACTGATAATTGCGCATGAGAGTCGATAATAGATAAAAATAGTCAGACGCAGAACGTTACTGAGACTACGGTCAAGGGCGGATCAAAAACATGAACGTGATAACAGTGGAGGCGGGTAGTACGAACTTTAATATGTAAGCACGTTAAGAAATAAAAAAAAATAATAAGTGTTATCACGTGATGACAAGAAGTATTTATCCATACGGAACCAAAAAACCTTTCTTACTTTCAAAAACTCAACTTGTTATTAATAAGAAAATTCGGAGTACAAGTGAAATACATTTCAATTAATAACAATAACAACAACAATAACAACAACAACAACAATAATAATAATAATGATGATGATAGTTCATCTCATTATTATATTAACGGAGACAGCAAGATAAACGGTAAAACTATCGAATATAAATGCACATAGAGACAAAATGACTACTATGACAATGAGCCAAATGAAGCTAGACTGACTCTAGCTAATGCTGTATGAAGTACATGAAAAAATCACATCAATATTATAAAATGCCACAATCAGAAAAAACAAAAAAAAATTTAACTAAGAATGAATTGATGTAGAAATGGTACGCAACAATAGTATTTGTGACATTAACAAGCATGAATGATAAATAATAATAATAAATATAAATAATAATATTATTATTAATACTGACCCTAAAAACTCTGGTACCCTTTTTCTTGTCCCTCCAGATGACCAGGTGCATGGGTTCATATGAATGGATGGTGCTGGCTGTGGATTTTTTTTGTTCATATGTTTGTTGTTTGTAATGTATGTTGTGTTTATGTTGTTGTGTTTGTGTTGTTGTTTACAATTTGATTTATTGTTGTTGTTTATGCTCTGTTTGTTGTTGTTTATTTTGCTGCGTTTGTGTTGTTATTTGTGTTGTTGTTGTGCTGTTGTTGTCTACTCTCGTGTGATTGTTGCTGTGGTTTGTATTGTTTTGAGTGTTGTGGCTGTTGCAATAATTGTTATGTGTGTTGTTTGAATTGTGTCGTTCACTAACATTTTATTCGAAATTTTCAAATTCAAATGAAAAAATAGAAACATTGACGACAGAGTGAGAATAATTTGAATATAAATTGCTAGAAGTGTGTTTTTTTTTCCTGCACATGGTAAGTGTTGTAGACGGTGATGTTTTTGTAGAAAGAGTAGTAGATTTTATGATGCATAGAAATGTTGTTACATTATGTTGCGTAGTTATTGTGTTGAGTTGTGTTGTAACATGCTTGATTGTTTTCTGTAGCAATAGTCGTTGTTTGCATTACTATGGCTGTATTGTAACTTGTATTGTTATATTGTGTAGTTGTTGTTGTTGTTGTCTGTATTGTTTGATGATGTGTGTTGTGTGTTATGTGGTTGAAAGTTTGTGTTGAGTACAACTGAAGGCAATGAAGTTAGTTGTTGATGTTGTTCTTAATGTAGTTGCTGTTGATGTTGCTATTAATGTTGCTATATGTGTTATAGTTTGAGGAAGCTATCATGTGTTTCTCGATTGATTGCAATAGTGTTGTGAGTTATATCACGGGCATTGAATCACAGATATCATAAGACCGGTATCATATGCATCATTAATTGTTAAAACTTATTGGAGTCACAGCTTATCGTCGTTTGATCGGCAACAACTAAGTAATAAATCTAACGCAACAATCCAACAAAACAAATCAATGAACGAAGATGGCATGGTTATAATACAACTAAAAAAACAAAAATACAAACAACAACAAAAAAGACAAAATAAAAATAATATTAACACAATAAATAGGATCCTTAATTGGAGATAAATCAGATGGTTTGAAAAAAATCCTTTGATAATACTGGCGTTCCCTATAATGAACAACCATTCCATTTGTAGAACATAAAAAAATCTTTCCTGTAGTCTAAGTGGGACCTATATGTGTTTAGCTTCAATGTATGTATGAATGTATGTATGTATGTATGTATGTATGTATGTATGTATGTATGTCTGTATGTATGTATGTATATATATATATATATAATCACAAACACACACCTAATTACATTAGGATTAGTTTGTTCGTCTATGATCAAAAAAAAATTTATAATAAACTATTTAAAATTGTGAGCATCGCTAACAAAAGTTAACTTTGGATTGAAACATTAAAAATAGCTGCCTCATTACAAAATCTAATAACTCTGTTAATATTTTTGAAGAGCAGCTATAAATAGTACCCATTGAGTTTCTTTGATTATTGCAATTGTATATCATTATCTATCAATATAGATCAGACACTTAGCTGTTAGACAGATTTCAATAATTCTTTGGTTGAAGTATTTAAAACAAGGACAGGTTATTGTTTGTTTAAGAGCCTGTGCGTTGATAGCCCAGCTCTACATTCGCATCTTGAACGCTCTATGATCAACATCTCATCTGTAAATTCATCGGCATCAGTTTACTTGAAGAAGAGAAATGATTTCGTCTGAAGGTGAGGGGTATCATTCAAATAAATTGATACATGAAACTGTATTAGATCACGTAGAAAAATTCGTGATAAATAAACAAATTATGATGCATCAATTTTGCAGGGACTTTCTGCAGAAATCCAACTACCGTAACTTTTTAACTGAAGATATAACGGGATAGTCTAGATTCATCGCAGCTGACAAGCCATTTAATGAAATGAAATGGGCTAAGAGCTTTCGTTCCTTAACAAAAAAAAGAGGACCAATATAATTTGATGAAAAATATGCAGGAAGAGTATTACAAAACTCTACCGACACAATATTCATTGGTTACTACACTCTACACTATTTATGTATTCCTTCCGTCAAAACAAGAAGAAGAGTATGTTAGAGTTTTTAGAAAACTTCTTGAGTCAAAACCAACGCTTGCTCCACGTGTTGTAATGGATTTTGAAAATGCTAGTCAGAATGCAATAAGCACCGCATTTCCAACCTGCGAATTGTTTATTTATTTAGAAATATGATAACCATTTCCACCAAAGGGTGAATATAAAATTGACCAAAATGAAACCAATGAAATTATTGATAGCTACAGAAAAAATATTTGTAATAATCGCTTATCTACGTTTTGTTATTTAATTTCTTGTTAACGCTTTCATTCTGCTTTCGAAGGTTCTTTTTAAAAAATATCAATTATTAACAAAATTATAATAACAATTGTTATTATTATTGTAATTGATATTATAACTAGAACTAGGATGTAGCCACAACAATAATTATAGAAAAAATAATAATATATCAATAGTACTATGACTGTTATTAATATTATTATTATTTATATTGTTATTGTTATTATCATCGTTATTGTTACAATCTAATTGTTGGCAACTTAAAATCTTGCACAAAGTCTGATTTAATCATATATGCGGATCTAGATAATGAATCAATTCGCCCAGAATCGCACTTCTTCAAGTCTAGCCAGCCAGACATACATCGCCATAGCCACATAGCCAACAACGATACGATTGAGATTCTCGAATTGACGGTCTGCCACGAAACAAACTTCACCAAATCTAAACTCTACAAAGAAGAAAAATATGAAAACAACCTTAAAAATGATTTGTCAAAAGATTTTAAAACTTTTAACATTCTAATTAGAGCATTTGAAATTAGTCCAATAACCCTTTTAAACTCTCATTAATTAATTTATTTTGGTCAGACGTTTTTAATGATAATTTGATAAACTGCGTAATAAAGTCGTCGTATGCAATATACTGTGACAGGAACAAAATTTGAACCATTTTTGTGTCATTTCATCAAAACTTGAACAATTTTGTACCATTTATCATCAACGCACCCTTATATTAAAGATGAGCATTGACGAATATTGTAAACATTTATTATATATGTATGTATATATATATATATATATGTGTGTGTGTGTGTGTGGTGTGTGTGTTTATGAATTTAAATTAAGTTTTTGAGTTACAATAAAAGAAGTTTCCATTATTATTATTAGTTTTTATTTTTCAATTTTTCAATTACTTTCACTGAATATAATGACGAAGAAAATAATTAGATTACCAGTCCCTAAGAACTAGAAAACCATTCATTCATTTGAATAGATGACTTGGTTTAAGAATAATCTATCATCATCATTTGAGTAACATCATCAACATCATTGTGAGTGAACATACTAAAAATCATCGTCGTATAGTCGTCATCATCATCATAATACCACAATCGCTATTATCAAATGAAATGATGATGAAATGAAATGATTACTTAAAAATAATCCGTTGTTTTGTCATCGTCATCACCAATCTCTTTCAAACATCTAAAACATCACAACTATTTTTTATTTAATGAAAATAAAGAAGAAAATGATGATAATGACGACGACGATGTTGATGGTGATGACGACGATGATAAAAATTTTAACGAGACTAAATTTGATGATTGATGACCTGACAAGTGATTGTGAAACCTCCAGAAATTATGTTAGAGTGTGATCATTGATGAAGGCCATACGGCTGAAATAAATAACTTTCGATAATGACCATGACGATGGCCGCGGCGCTGATGATGAAATGATGATAAAACGGTTTAACCCTGCGATGACGGCTGGGGTAGATTTCTACCCCAGAGCTACTTTCTAAGCATGAAAAAAGAAAACTACGCAAAAGCTTGGGCTCTCTTTTTATGACTTTTCCTAAAATCATCTCTTCTCTTATTTTAAAACTAAAATTTGATAAAAAAAATAACGCTAGAGGGCAGTTTTGAATGCATATAGCACCTAGGACGATTGGGGTTGATTTTTACCCCAAATTAAATACACTTTTTTAAATATTTAAAACTTTATGAATGTAATGGAGAACAATTAAATTTTATGTTACTATTTTTATTCGATTGTATTATCATCAACTATAAAAAATTAATGTCAAACTTTTCAAATCTTTGGCAATAAGCAGTTCAACACTTTTTTTTCAAACAATCAGCTAAAATGGTGTATTCTGAAAGATTTACTTTAGAGCAAGCCAAACAATTGATAATTGATAATTCTAGTGACGAAGAGAGTATTAGTGAGCATGAAGAGATTACTGATTATTCGGATGTAGAATTTACTGACGAAAAAGGAAATGAACCTTTTCTCGTTGAAGACAGCGCCGACGATGATGATGAAATAAAATATACACTTCAGAGTTCAAGTAAGATAAGATTGATAAAAAATACAATTTTTCAAATGTATCAAATAACAATAACATGAATATATAATAATACTTTCAGATGTACAAAATGACAGCTCTAATTCAGATCTAGGCTCTTCCGATGAAAGCAATGATAATGAAAAAAGCAAAACATTTGTATCTAAATGTGGAAACATAGTCTGGCAAAATGAACCAGTTTACAACAAATGTGGAAGGCGTGGTATGATGAATGTAATTCACGGGAAACCCGGTCCAACAAGATTTGCTAAAAAAAATGTAGACAGTCCTATTTCTTCATTTCATCTATTTTTTAGAGATAATATAGTTGAAAACATTTTGAAATGGACGAATAAGGAAGGAGAAGAGAAACAGATGAGTAATTGGAAGGAGTTAGATAAAAAAGAATTTTTTTGCTATATTGGATTGCTTATTCTTTCTGGAGTACACAAAGCAAAAAATGAAGCTGTCAATGAACTTTGAAACAAAAAGCGGGGACGCACATTATTCAATGAAGCCATGCCAAGGGATAGATTCAAACAAATAAATAGTGCTTTGAGGTTTGATGATGCATCAAAACGAAGGCAAAAGAAAAGTGAAGACAAATTGAGTCCCATAAGAGAATTGTTTGAAATGTGGGAAAAGACATTAGAGGATGCATATATTCCTTATGAAAATGTCACTATTGATGAACAACTCCTAACTTTCAGAGGACGTTGTTCTTTCAAGCATTTTCATTATAACAGCTTAACGTACGTATAGGACGTTTTCATAAAAAATTAAAAATATTTCGCTTTGCTTAAATTTTTCGGTTTTCTAAGGAATTTATTAATTTATAAAGTTTTATTTTCGTAAAAATAAATTAGTTTTCATTTTTCGCAATTAATTCGGTAGTTTAATAAGACAATTTGGTTTCATTCGTTTTCACTGCTCTCTTGGAGTAATCAGAAATGTCTCACTCCACCTCGACAAGAGCAGCAGCAAAGAAGTCTGAGAAAGCTGTTATGGAACCTGATGATTATGGCCTCAAACTGTGTGAAAAATGTCGTGCTGAGAACTGTTCAGTCTTAGCTGGCTTGGTCGAAGGGCTGAAGGATACACCTAAGCATTCCTGACTGGAATGTAAACAAATCACATAAAAGAAGATTATTTCTGCTGGAACTTGGAGAAGTAAATTTTTGAGACAAGTCTGATATATTTGCAATATTAAAATTATTTAATTTTTTTCACAGAGTATGATTAACTTTGGCCACAAGGATGACTTGGTAGAGACAAAGATTCCTGCTATACTCAGCAAATCCGGCAGATGTCATGCTTGTCCTAGAATAAAGGATAAGAAAACAGCACTAAAATGTTCAAAGTGCAACAAACCAACATGTAGAGATCATGTTTTTATGATATGTAGGAATTGTTCTACAAATTGAACAAATTACATTCACTTTTTGTGTTAAAAAATTAAATAAATTTTTTGTAACAATAAAAACAAATTATTATATTGTTTTGTTCATTAAAATTGTTGTTATTCACCAAACGTGTTTTATTTGCATGATAAAATTTATTTTGTGTCATCATTATTTGTTGTTATCATCAGATTTAACCTTGGGGTAGAAATCTACCCCATTCGTCTTCAGTGGATGAAAAAAATCGCCGTCATCGCAGGGTTAAGGTCCATTAAAGCCTTCCAAGGTTTTGAGGAATCAACAAACGATGATAATGTTGATGATAGTAATAAAACACGGAAAGAATGAAAAGCGCTTGCTAATACAGAAATGACAATGATAATGATTATTATATCGGAAATTACGTGAAAATAATGATGATAACGTGATTTTTAAAACGGTCACTAAGATGATGATGAAAATAGGGACAAAGAAAGTTAATAGAAAGAGAGGAAAATGACAACGACGTTTAACAACTTTTGAAAAAAATGTTAAACTGGCAATAGGTCTGTAGTTTTTAAAATCGCTACCGTCTATTGTCGGCTTTTTTGAAGGTGGTTTAATAATCGCATGTTTAAAACAGACAGGAAACATGCCATATAAGAGGAACAGATTAACAAGGTGGGTTAAAAACGGCAAGAAAAAACCAATGCACCTCTTAAGGACTGTAGTAGGAATAAGACCGAGATAACAAGACTTTGATGTGGACTAAAAGTATTATAGATTTTATATCTTCAATGGTGCATGGAGAACATTGATAAAACAAGACTGAGTCAGTCAAAGCAGGTTTTATTGGATAATAATTTGTTGGGCCCAGAATTATTGGAACATATTTCGTCAACCTTATATATTTTTTTTTAAAGTTGCAAATTTGTCAGGAGTAAGTCTGACAGTTTGACACAAAACTTTTTTTTTCATTTTGTCTTTTCGACATAAATTGTAAACTATTGGAAAATTCATTGGGACAAAACTATGATCGAAATATTGGGAATAATACCTTGATTGCAAGTCATTTGATATGACGATGACAATGCTAATTATGAAAAGTGATGAACATTATCACCACAATATATTGATGAAGCGGTGGAAAATGATAATATATGCTGTTGATGCCAACAGATATAAGACAATTTCATTCATAAAAACTATAGTAACGATGATAAAATTTTCATTATATCATCATATCTCACAATGATAACGGTAAGATATAACGCTGATAATGCTAATGTCCTCGAAAATTATGAAGATTATTACAGTGAAAAAAATCCTTCCCTGATAGCGACAACGATGATGATGGTGATGTGGAGGCGACATTATGAACTGCAAACAATATTCCAATGGTTTATTGTGTTACGGATATTTTTATATATTGAGCGTGGTTGATATATAAACAAATATGAATGTATGTAATGAGTAATACACACCTACATAAGTATATGTAGGTGTGTATTTCTCTCTCTCTCTCTCTCTTTCTCTCTCTCTCTCTCTCACACACACACAGACGCACGCACGAACGCACACACATCTACAAACTTTTTTGCAAATATATATATATACGATATTTTTATAATGGGTGGTCCTTGGTCAGATATATAACATTGCAACATTAATTTTGGCTGGAACCAGCAAACGCCAGAGCAAACAAGAACGAGTTATGTCATCTCAAGTTTTGCGTGGTTGTATGTGTTTATGTGTGTATGTGAGTGTGTGTGTGTGTGTGTACGATGAAGTTATTGTATTTTGTTGTGTGTCTGCGTTGTAATTCATTGTACCTTAAAGTTACTTTTACTGTCTGCTGCAAAATATGCAAAATTGTTATTAATATGCGATTATTACGACTACATCAACTACTACTTCTATATCAACCACTACTACTACTACCACTACTACTACATTAACTATTACTACTACTACTACATTAACTATTACTACTACTACTACCATGCAAATATATCATTCATGGTTTATACCAAAGTATGATAATGAATAGAGATATCAAATAAGAAAAAATAGCTTGCTGCTTATTAGTACACTACAACACTTACACTCTTGTTAAACAAAGAATTAAAATTATTTATAGTATAATAATGGCTGCGATGTAAAACTGCGGTACCAACAAACGCCGCCGCCAGACTAAGCAGTCTCGCTTTTGGCCGAGACTCGCCTCTTCACGAATGCGCATCTCCGGGTCGGTAAACACGGGCCGGACGCAAGAGCTATCGCGCCTTGCTTGCCAGTCGGTTAATTCGGCCCTATCAAAACCGCTAATAAAGTCTTATTCAGACATGTTTTAGACATTGAATACAAAAAAATAAACTAATTGAAATAAAAAGGAAAGTATACTTAGGATATTCTGTAAATTAAACGTTTTCAAAATATTTCCCATCTAAATAAGAAACTAAACTAAATATTCTAAATGAAATAAATAAACAAAAACCAATTCGCAACAGAACAGCAGTAATAAATAAACGAAACCCCCCAAAAATCGCAAAAAAATATTGGAACTATCATCAATTACCAAATGAGCTAAAAAAACCGCAGAAACCGAACCTAGAACCGTTATCCAAAACACTAAAATACTAATCCAACTGGGAAACCATTCATTTTCAAACATACCAACGCGCAATACCATACCAAATTTCACACAAAACCAATTCACACAACAAACTACCAGCATGCACACAAGACCAATCCATGCAAAACAAGCGCGCCAAACAAACCAACATACGCACATGAACCATTCATTCAATATGCGCGCCAAAAAAACTTCACAAAAAACAAATCTATGTTCTTTCCTGACGATTTAGTTATGCGTGATAAAAATAGTTCAAAAACAATAATTTACGTGTTCCTACTTTCTTGTGAGTGCACCGAACAATACAAACGTAGCAGCACAATAAACATTTTGTAAGGAGAGCATACACGCATTCCACTTTAGCAAGAACCACAATACAAAACAACGAAAAATCAAGAATACATCGATCAATTAACGACAGCTACCAAATGAGTCGCACAAAATAGCCATAGTTTGTTCACTTTAGTCTTACCATGTGTACAGACTGAAATTCACACGTAGAAATTTCCTACAAACACCGTATACCAGAATGGCAAAATTAAATTGAAATGAATACTAGAAATGTAACATATACTAACACATAAACAAGTACATACCCACAAACATAAACCCATATATACACACACAAAAGGATAAAATACATAAACACCCCCCCACACACACACACAGAGAATAGGGCACAATCTTTTCAATAATTTATCACGCACAATCCTCAATCAACCACACACACACAATCTTTATAATAATAGACATCATCACCCCAGAGATGACAAATAAGTGAAGACAAACCAAAATTGGTTCAGGTAAACGGAATACACGGCGAAGAAATGATTAAACCACATCAAATGCCAACTCAATTCCATATATACACTCCGCATTCCATACATTCCATATATACACTCAATTCCATATATACACTCCATATATACACTCCGTTTCTGATGCATGTATCACCGTGTGCCTCAATAAACATGCGTAGGAGTGATACTTGCCATCTGTTTTCGCATAAATTCACCGATAAGAAAATTGGTAAATTTTCGGAAAAACGAACCAACAAAATTATTTTTTAAAAATAGTAAAAAGATTGGTATTAAAGCGAAAGAAAGCCTTTTGAAAAGTTTCAATAACATTTCTGCAAAAAAGGTGAAGTATAGAAATAACTTGTTTCATTTCTTATCTGTGGTTACATCCAAATATATCAGAATGTTTGCATTTCATCTTACAGTGTTTGTTTGTATTTATGTTTGCAAATATGATTGTTAATGTTTTGAGAATAATATTTTATATAAAGTTATATATATATATATATATATATATATATATATATATATATATATATGTATGTATGTATATATATATATATATATTGATAATATATATAATCGAACAATATATATATATATATATATGTGTGTGTGTGTGTATGTGTGGTGTGTGTAGTTTATGTTGTTTGCCCATTTTTTTATGTACATTGGAATGCTGGATTAGTTTACATTAACTGATTAAATATCATAAACAAACACACGCCGGCAGACACACACACACACACACACGCACGCACACACACACACACACATACACAATACATCGCAGCGCCAATTTGCTCCAACCAAATATTTTTGATACATCAGCAACACAATAATATTATAATAAAAGCAAAAAAACATGCAAAAAAATTCGTACATGTAATTCTATGATATGTAATTATGACTGTCTGAAAAACAAAATTATAGTTACATAAGTGTTAGTCTCAATTTTCATTAATATATATGAGATTCTCATGAGAATTGTGTGTGCTTGTGTGGCTGTGTGTACGTGTGTGTGTGTTTGTGTTGTCATCTACTTGTTCTTTCTTCCGTTTTCGGCTATAATCAGCGCTGAAGGGTTTTACACTGTCAACGTGCTTCCTTTGAAAGGTCAGTGTAGAAGTGTGAAAATGATGAATTCTCATTTTTCTCAGGTAAACGGAATACACGGCGAAGAAATGATTAAACCACATCAAATGCCAACTCAATTCCATATATACACTCCGCATTCCATACATTCCATATATACACTCAATTCCATATATACACTCCATATATACACTCCGTTTCTGATGCATGTATCACCGTGTGCCTCAATAAACATGCGTAGGAGTGATACTTGCCATCTGTTTTCGCATAAATTCACCGATAAGAAAATTGGTAAATTCATAGGGGTTACAGATGAAATACATTTTTTTTCCAACTGTAACACAGTTGGAAAAAAAATGAATGAATGACAATATTCAAAGTTTGGAATAAAAAGAAAAAAAATATCGAGGATATGGTATTTGTTTAGAGACAGTATATTACTGTTGATAAAACATGTATACTATGTCTACATGTCTCTTGGTATTTGGCTGGTATTTGGTACTGAAGCCAGCAAG